GTCATCATCATCATATTCATCATTATCATGGCCGTCGTCCTGACTTTCATCGTCAGCATCATCATCATTGCCAGTTTGCATCATCAGCATCATCTGCATCGCCATCAGCATCAGCATCATCATCGTCATCAGCATCATCATCATCACCATCATCGTCATCATCCTCATCAGCATCATCATCATCATCATCATCATCATCATCGTCAGCATCAGCATCATCATCATCGTGATCATCAATATCATCATCGTCGTCGTCGTAGTCGCCATCATCATCGTCGCCCTCATCATCGTCACCATCGTCATCATGAGCGCTTCCATTATCGCCATCGAAGGCCCCATAGGGAGCTCCACCGAAGGCCCCAGTGGCGGTGTCCACATGCGTCCGCGCTACCCATTCCGGCACACCTCTTACACGGTTCGTGGCCCCATAGGGAGTTGCACCGAAAGTCCATGTGGCGGTGCCCACATGCGTCCGCGCTACCTGTTTCGGCACACCTCTTACACGTTTCGTGGCCCTCCGTAGGGAGCTCCACCTAAGGTTACAGTGGCGGGTCCTCATGCGTCCGCCACACCCATGTCGCTACACCCCTCATACGCTTCGTGGCCCCATACGGAGCTCCACCGCCATAGGGAGCTCCACCGAAGGCCCCAGTGGCGGTGCCCGCGTGTGTCCGCGCTACCCATTTCGGCACACCTCTCACACGTTTCGTGGCCCTAGGGAGCTCCACCGAAGGCCCAAGTGGCGGTGCCCACATGCATACACACCCCAGAAGGAAGGTCCACCCTAGGCCTACTACCAGGGCCTACCCCTCCTAGGCCTACCCTAGGGCCTACCCCTAGGGCTCCCCTAGGCCTACTCCGAGGGCCTACCCCTAGGGCTACCCTGCCCCTAAGGCCTGCCCCTACGGCTACCCTGGGCGTACCCCTAGGGCCTCCCGCTGACGCTGCCCTAGGCCTGCCCCTAGGGGGCCTACCCCTAAGGCTGCCTACCCCTAAGGCTACCCTAGGCCTACCACTAGGGCCTACTCCTGGGGCTGCCCCAGGCCTACCCCTAGGGCCTGCGCGCGCAGAGCCGCCCTGGCCGGATGAGAAGCACGAGGAGGAGGAGGAGGAGGAGGAGGAGGAGGAGGAGGAGGAGGAGGTAGTGGTTTCCCTCACCCTCCTCCCAGGTTCTTTTACACCGCACTCACATCTATACCCCTGGGTGGGTGTATGTGCGGCCGTTTTTGCGCTGTCATGTGCGCGCATGTGCGCGGCATGTGCCAGTCATGTGCCAGGCCTGTGCGGCCCTTCTTGGATGGATTTCCTACTGTGCACGTCGTGCCCGGGCATGTGCGGGGGCATGTGCGCTGTGTTTTGATGTATCCATCATACGCACATGCACGCACAGTCCGACGCACATGCGCGCACATGCCTGCACATGCGGGAGGTGTTCGAGAATCGCAGATCTGTCATCGGCACATGCACGCACATGCCTGTGCAACCTCTCTTCGGGAGGCCGCGCGGGCCCGCACATGCACGCACATGCGGTGAAGCGCGCGGGCGCACATGCGTGCACATCCCAATGCACATGCACGATCATGCCCTAGGAGCTGTCTGGGACCCCTGTGCCTCCAATGCCTCCTGGCCCCTGAAAGAGTTTGTTGTGCGTTTACACTCGCCCGCTGCTGGCGGGGGCGGTTCCTCGCCCGGTTCGTGAGCTGGCGGTGGCGTGCCCTCCTAGTAAAACATTCTCCCGCGCGCCTTCTCAGCTCGGCCGGAAAAGCAGGGGTGGGGGGGGGGGGGGTGGAGGGGGAGGGGAAGGAGGCGGGGCCGAGGAGGCGGACGCCCCCGGCTCGGCCGGCCCGCCCGCCTGTTCGGCTCGCCCAGAAGAGAAGGAGGAGGAGGAGGAGGAAGAGGAGGAGGAGGAGGAGGAGGACGAGGAGGACGACGAGGAGGAGGTGAGAGTTGCGAGGATGTCTCAGGCGAAAGTGGCTTGACGGCCCGAGCTCAGGGAATCTCGGAATCGCTAGCCTGGCTCGGCCACTGGCGAGCTCGGCCTGTGCGAATACTGTGCGTACCTGTGCGGCGCATGTGCGGGACGTGCAAGAATGCCGGGGCCGGCGTTCGTCTCCGGGCGCCGGCGCGTTCGCGTCCGGCCGGTTCCGCGTGAGACGTCGTCGGCAATCTGGAGGCCGACATGCTTTGACATGAGGTGATCTGGCCACCTTCGCCTGAGACATCCTCGCAACTCTGGTCTCGGAGATGCCCTGCCCCATGGTGGCCCAGCCACTTTCGCTTGAGACATCCTCGGAACTCTGGGTTTCGAGACGCCCTGAGCTGAGGTGGTTAGACCACTTTCGCCTGAGACATCCTCGCAACTCTGACCTCAGAGATCTCCTGCCCCATGCTGGTCAGGCCACTGTTGCCTGAGACATCCTCGCAAGTCTCGATTCCGATATGCCCCGAGCTGAGGTGGTCAGCCACTGACGCCTGAGACATCCTCGCAACCCTGATCTCAATTATGCCCTGCTCGATAGTGTCTCGGCCCCTTTCGCCTGAGACATCCTCGGAACTCTGGGTTCCGAGACGCCCTGAGCTGAGGTGGTTAGAGCGCTTTCGCTTTAGACATCCTCGCCCGAGATGCCCTGAGTTGAGGTGTTCAGGCCATTTTCGCCTGAGACATCCTCGCAACTCTGACCTCAATGATGCCCTGCTCCATAGTGTCTCGGCCTTTTTCGCCTGAGACCCTCTCAACTCTGGGTTCCGAGATGCCCTGCCCCATGGTGGTCCGGCCACGCTTGCCTGAGACATCCTCGCAACTCTGGGTTGCGAAATGCCCCGAGCTCAGGTGGTCATGGCACTATCGCCTGCGACATCTCTGCGGCATGTGCGGGCATGTGCGTCCATGCTTTCAGAGTTTTGCTTGACCGTGCATTCGACTGCGTCGGACGGTGTGGCATGTGCGCGCATGTGCGGCAATACTGTTGAGGCTTTTGCATATTTGCATGGACATGTGCATGCGACTGTGCGGCATGTGCCTGCATGTGCGGCCCCTTCCGGACCACAATTTCAAAGTGAGCACTATAGAAGTGAGCGCTATAGAAGTGAGTCCGGTGTACGCCTAGCCGACCGGCAGGCGCGCCCGGGGGGGACGGTAGGATAGGATTTCGAGCTCCGTGTTTCCATCCTGGTCGAGGGGGTTTGGCCACGGGCCTCCCCCCTCCCCCGGTATCCAAGGCATCGAAGGACGCAAGACCCCGCCGTCGCCGCCCTGGCGCCAGACAGCGCCGCCGTCAGCTGTCGACCGGCTTTGCTTCGCGTCGTCGTCGTCGTCGTCGTTGTCACCAGTGTAGTCCTCGTTGTTGTGGGTCGGTCGATTGGTCAGACAGCCGCTCGGTCGGCAGGTCGTTTGGTCGGACGGTCGGTCGTTGTCGTTGTCGTCGTCGTCGCCGAGGGGGAGGAGTAGGCGAAAGAGCATGCGAGGACGCACCACACTATACCTTAGTGCCCCTCCCGGCCGACCCGGCCCGCCCGCCACGGGCGCCCGCGTGCCGTGCAAAGGGGGATGCACCACAACATATTTCAAACTTGATGTCCCGCCCGCCCGACCCGACCCGCGCCGCCACAAACGCGCTCCCGCCCGTCTTGAATTGTGTCCTGGAAAAAACGGGGGGGTCCTTTCGGGGAGGGTCCCCGAGGGGGCGTCCCCGAGGAGGACGGGGATCCTCGAGGGGGGGGGTCCCCGAGGGAAGGGTCCCCGAGGGAAGGGTCCTCCGAGGGATGGTCCCTGAGGGGTGTCTCCGAGGGGGGGTCTCCGAGGGGGGGTCCCCCCAGGGGAGGTGCCCCGAGAGCTTCCGGGGAGCCCCGAGGGGGGTCGCCAAGGGGAGGTCGCCGAACGGGGGTCGCCAAGGGGGTCCCCGAGGGGGGGTCTCCGGAGGGGGGCTCCCCGAGGAGGGGGGGGCGACGGGGGGTCACCGAGGGAGGAGGAGG